TCCAGGTTTTGTTGATTCTGCTCTCCCCTCTCATGTGTGCCGATTGTATAAATCTCTATATGGTTTAAAATAGGCTCCGCGGGCTTGGTACACTCGTCTGAATGATTTCCTATTATCTATTGGTTTTCGTGCCTCTAAGGTGGATACCTCATTTTTTATCTTCTCTGTTGGTGCTGATATTTGTTATCTTCTGGTCTACGTTGATGATATTTTGCTTACGGGTAGTAACTCTCTTCTACTCCAACGCCTCATTCAGCTACTGAGCTCAGAATTTAAGCTTCGCGACTTGGGTTCTGTTCATTATTTTTTAGGTATTGAGGTTCAATCTACTAGTATGGGTCTTATATTCCGCCAGCATAAATATATACTTGACATCCTCACTCAGGCTGGTATGTTATCTTGCAAACCTGTGGATACTCCTATCTTTACATCCAAAGCTACCATTCTGCCCGATCCATTATTTTTTGATGCTACCCGCTTTCATCAAATTATGGGTGCTCTTTAGTATCTCACTTTTACACGCCCAAATATTTGTTTTACTGTTAACAGAGTCTGTCAGTTTATGCATGCTCCTAAGATTCTCATTGGGCTGCCGTGAAATGCATCTTGCGTTATCTTCGAGGTACGACATCACATGGCTTACATATTACTCGCAATTCTTCTTTTGCCTTACATGGTTTTACAAATGCAGATTGGGCAGGCAGTGTTAAGGACAAAAAATCTACGGGTGGTTATTTTGTGTTTTTTGGTCAAACGCCGATTTCATGGAAATCCGGTAAGCAACGTACAGTTGCTCGCTCCTCTACTGAAGCTGAGTACAAAGCCTTAGCTGATGGCACTGCTGAGATTATCTGGCTTCAATACTTATTAACAGATCTCCAACTTCCATCTGCTTCTGCTCCTATTATCTGGTGTGACAACCTTGGTGCCACTTATTTGTCTGCGAATCCTGTTTTCCATGCTCGCACAAAACATGTTGAGGTCGATTATCATTTTGTCCGAGATAGAGTTGCAAAGAAGGAGATTCAAATTCATTTTATTTCCTCTCAGGATCAACTTGTCGATGTCTTCACTAAGCCACTTCCTACTTCTTCGTTTACTACTTTTCGTTTCAAGCTTCGGGTTGATCCTCCACCCTCAGTTTAAGGGGGCATATTATAGAATATACTTATATAGGAAATATTGTAGACATACTCTTGTGTGGTAAACTCCACCATTACTATTGTATATTACCCTATATATATATATATATATATATATATATATATATATATATATATATAGAGAAAGGGTTGGTTACCCATTAGGTTAAGCCTCCCAATTATTCTCAACTCAACTCAATTTTATCCTTAATTCTCTCACCAAAATACCTTAAAATTCTCCTAAAATAAAATAATGATTTCACTCAACAAGATCCAACCATCGGGAATCAATTATTTAATCTCTAAAGACCTTAAAAATACTATTATGACCAATCTTAATCACAACTCATGAAAAACATGTCTGAGTTGTACTTTTCTAGACTCCTTTACACCTTTATCCCTTAATTAATCAAGATCATAGGTGTCCAGATCAATAACCATGATGTTCCTACCCAATTCGTACCACTTAAATCCTTTTCCTTTGCTCCCAAGATTCAAAGAGCAATCATAACAAACTCACACCTTAACAACCAAAATTTTTTAAGATGGTATAATTAACTATTTTGATATCTAAAAAATAAGATAATATTTTTTTTCTTAGCTATAATCAATTGTTATTCTTTCTTTTAGAACATCAAGGGCTGAAGAGATTCTATCAACTTACAAGCCCTAAAACCTTTTCAAGCAAATTCCAAGCCTAAGTTTTTATTTTGAGCTAAGGACATGTATGTCGAACACACACTAACATTTTTGTTTGAGCCTTGTATTCATGTTTTTTTATGGGTGTTTTGCTAAATGCAACCTTAGTAAAAATTTAGATTTTCAAAGGGATCTTTTTGCAATTAATTTTGATTTTTTCAAATTGTTTTACCCTTTTATATTTAACATTTAGGATTGTAAATTTATATATCAAACGCTTTTGCAAAATTAAATAAACTAATTTTTTTAAAAAAACAACAAAAATAAGTTGGTTACACGCGACATTGATTTTGTTCATGTAAATATATTTAATTTATTAATAAAAATTATTTATCTTTAATATTCATCAAATATTTGATTAATGAATCTAAAGTATAGATAAAGTTATTAAGACAAAATGCTTTGCAAAAACAATTATAAATTGTTAGTCTCGGTCGCGTTTCCTCGAGAGTTGTAAAAGTCTAGGTGCGATCCAATGGCTTTTAAATTCATCACAACAACACATTTATTAATGATCCTCAGGATCCATACCAAGTGCTCTGATACCAACTGTACCAACTGTAACAACCCGGCTTTCCAAGCCCAAAACAACAATAATTTTTATATATATATATGTACACATGGTGTCGATAATCAAAGAACTTGAATCCTCACATCATCAAAATACAATCCATACAATCAACATTTCATTTAAAAGCGAATCTTACACAAACACATAATATTAAGGTTGCATGATCTGAAGTTCATATTAAAAATATATACATAGACATGAGTTTGCATTCTTATCCTACTAATAGCCATCACAATTTAAACAAAAGGATCTAATAAAAGTTATACATTCAGTACATTGATCCATACAAAATACATTGTGATTTAGAATACATCTACATAATTCCTTGCAAAAGTAGGTTCCCGTGTATCGGGTTTCCTAGACATTTCGTTGGTGTGATGTCCCTGCAGTAGTACAAAACATTTAAGAGCATGCAAATACTTAATAATAATAATAATGGTCACTAACAGTTTGGCAATTAAATAAAGCATTAACATTTATGCTTTCTTCATGTATTTGATGTAACAGCTAGTAGTACATATAGATACACAAGTTCTCAGATGCCATTCGCCGAAACAAGACATTCGTTTGTCGGCAGTGAAAACTGGGTCACTGCCGATTTCTGTATCGGCAGCGAATACTGCGTCACTGTCGATCCAGAATCGGCAGCGGAAACTGTGTCATCGGCAGCGAAAACTGGGTTGCTGCCGATTTCTGTATCGGTAGCGAATACTGCGTCGCTACCGATCCAGAATCAGCAGCGGAAACTGTGTCGCTGCCGATTTCTGTATCGGCAGCGAAAACTGGGTGGCTGCCGATTTCTGTATCTGCAGCGAATACTGCATCGCTGCTGATTTCTGTATCGGCAGCATACACTCCGTCGCTGCCGATTTCTGTATCGGCAGCGTATATTGCGTCACTGCCGATCCAGAATCGGCAGCGGAAACTGCGTCGCTGCCGATTTCTGTATCGGCAACGAATACTGCGTCGCTGCCGATCCAGAATTAGCAGCGGAACTACATCGCTACTGATTTCTGCATCGGCAGCGAAATCATTCCTTTATTCCGGCCATCCATTCGGACGCCATTAGCCAAAGCTAATCATCCTTTGTCCCAGCCATCCGTTCAGATGCCATTAGCCGAAGCTAATCACTTATTTGTCCCGGCCATCCGTTCGGATGCCATTAGCCGAAGCTAATCAACATTTAAGCGTTCGACAATTTAATATTGGTTCCAACAATATGGTAGTACTCAAGTTAAAATATTTCAAGATTCAACGTATGAAAAAGAAAGGTGCAAGTCACCTACCTGGTCCACCTGTGGGTTGTTCCTGTCTTGATGATGGTCCAATCCCGACCGCACCACCTAAGACATCAATGGTCACAAATCAGCACAATTGTATTTATTTTATCTTTGAATCATATTCATCATCACACATATTTCAAGAGTTCATATGTTCACATTCAAGTGTTCCATAATTTACACCATCATATCATGAAATTGTCACTAGCCTTTAAGTCATTTCTGCCTAGGAGGCTTATTGTAGAAATCAGCAGCGAGAACTGGTTCGTTGCAGGCTGCCCAATTCGGCAGCGAGAACTAGTTCGCCGCAGGCTGCCAGTTCGGCAGCGACACCTGCATCGCTGTTGGTGCCATAGTTTCGTTGCACAACGCACAACTCGGCAGCGAATACCAATTCGCTGCAGGAAGTTCAGTTTCGGCAGCGAAACAGAATTTCGCTGCACAATACACAAATCGGCAGCGAATATCAATTCGCTGCAGGAGGTTCAGTTGCGGCAGCGAAACAGGATTTCGCTGCACAATACACAAATCGGCAGCGAATATGAATTCGCTGCAGGAGGTTCAGTTGCGGCAGCGAAACAGGATTTCGCTGGACAATACACAAATCGGCAGCGAATATCAATTCGCTGCAGGAGTTCAGTTGCGGCAGCAAAACAGAATTTCGCTGCACAATACACAAATCGGAACCATCCATTTCAGCACTTAATTCTTCAACAAAATTCCAGTAGAATACACACATGGAAAACCATCAATTACAGCATATAATCTTTCAATAAATTCCAGCAGAATACACACATTAATTTCAGCAACAACATCACAGCAAAACACATTAATTTCAGCACAACAACATCACAGCAGAACACATTAATTTTAGCACAACAACATCACAGCAGAACACATTAATTTCCCCAGCAGAACACACACACACACATGCATGTTGGCCTACCCCATAGTTAAAGCCAGCCCTCTACTATGTTTTGTTAGATGTTCTGAAATTGACTTTATTTCACTTCTGTTTGCTTGTTCTCTTAGTTAATTTCAGCTTCCATCACAGCTGGCTTAGGTCTTAGATCATTGGCAGCGAAAACTGCGTCCCTGCCCAATCCAGAATCGGCAGCGAAAACTGCATTTATCATCGTCTCTCTCTCTCTCTCTCAATATATATATATATATATATATATATATATATATATATATATATATATATATATATATATTTCCTTTGGGTGTTTACATAGCCTCCCTTCGCTCTCCTCGCAAGCGCCTTTGAAGTGCATATAGCATTTGCGTGTGCATGGACTCACGGGTGCGATCATACTAGCACTAATGCACTAGATCCAATCAGAACTCCGCAATCGAACGTGCTGGGGTGAGAGGAGTACTAGGATGTGTGACCTCCTTGGAAGTCCTCGTGTTACACCCCTCTTATTTGCTTGTTTCCCATGCGGCTCCCCTCGCGACCCCTTCTTCTTTTTTCTTCTCTTGCCCCCCTTTCCTTTCCCGCGCGGTGTTTCTACCTGTCAAGGATAGGAGAACGAGGTTTCCCTTAAGAAGAGTGAGGGAATGCGCAGAAGACTAAAGGCCCCGGGTGAGGACTGCAGGATCTAAAGATCTAGCGGTTGGAGTAGCGATTCCACGGCTACTCCAAGGAAAACGGTCTGCGGGAGCTCCTGTAATGGTCTAAATGTGATCCAACGGTCAGATCGCAGGTTATGGGCCTTTTGAGCCACCATTTTGGTCTGGTGCGAACCGATACGGTCTGAGGCCCCAACATGCTTCCCTGGGCCGCCCCCTCTTTGCAGCGGTGTTTCAACCGTCTAGAAGCCTCCCGCGGGCGCCTTCAAAGTGCTTATAGCAATTGCACATGCATGGACTTACAGGTGCAATCTTACCAGCACTAATGTGCGGATCCTATTAGAACTCCGCAATTAAACGTGTTTGGGAGGGAGTATTACGAGGATGGGTGACCTCCTGGGAAGTCCTTGTGTTGCACCCCTCCTTTTTGCCCGTTTCCCGTGCGGCTCCCCTCGCGACCCTCTATTCCTTTTTCCTTCTCCTGCCCCCTTTCCTTTCTGGCTCAGCATCCTCGCCTGCCGAAGAAAGAAGAACCAGGTTCCCCTCGAGAAAAGTGAGGGAAGGCGCAAAAGACTCAAGGCCTCATAGCGAAGACTACAGGATCTAAATATCTAGTGGTTGGAGTAACGATTCCATGGCTACTTCAAGAAAAAGGGACTCCAGAAGCTTCTGTAAAAGTCTGAGCGCGATCCAACTGCCGGATCGTAAGTTACGGGCCTTTTGAGCTGCCATTCTGGTCTGGTGCGAACCGGCCTGCTCCGGGGCCCCGGTTGCGCTTCCCCAGGCCGCCGCCTCTTTGCGGTTGTGCGTGAACTGCCTGGCAACCTCCCGTCACTCTCCCCACAGGTACCTTCAAAGTGGTTATAGCAAGTGCGCGTGCTTGGACTCATGGGTGCGATTATACCAGTACTAATGCATCGGATCCCATCAGAACTCTGCAATTAAATGCGCTTGGGCGAGAGTAGTACTAGGATAGGTGACCTCATTGGATGTCCTTGTTTTGCACCCCCTCCTTTTTGCCCATTTCTCGTGCGGCTCCGCTCGCTATACCTTAGATTTCAATTGCATTAAAGTATTGGTTTTTGGTCAATGCTTTATTGAGAAATGATATTAATTAGAGTTGTCGAGCCTGATATATATTTTGTTCTTTTCTTTATGAAAGGAAACAATTTTTATATAAGCTGAGGTTTAAGGGATACCTAAAACTAATATGTAGGTGTTTGTGAGATGACATGTATATTGAATTGACCCATATGAGAATTTCATATGGAGAGATCATATGTGTCTATTGAAATGTTCACGTGATTGTTGTGTAAGTGATCCTTAGACTTGAGATCACTAAATTATTTTATATAAATAATGTTTTGTTTTGATCATGCTACATGTTGTCGTAATTAAGGGTAACAAACGAGTAGATATTGAGTATAACATGAATTACATAAATGTATTTTAATAATCAAAAGAGGATTCATCACTTTATGTGAATTAGAGAAAATGTTCCATATGTTCTAAAATATTATTGATTGTAAATCCTTATGTAAGGTGGAATGAGATATGAAGAGAGTTTCAAATCTTATTAAAAAAATCAATGATTTTGTCATTTATAAAGTTTTCATGTTTCTCTATAAATAGAATGACATGCCTTTTATTTTCTGTACAATACAATGGTACGCAATACATAACACCTAAAGACATAGGAGTCCCTCTCTTCTAAAAGAAAAGTCCAAATACTTGAATAACTTATGCCCTATGCTTTATAATAATCTAACCTTAAAGTAATTATTTAAAATCATAAATAATATTTAATTTAGATAACCTTTGTATAAATCTTAAATAATTCTAAATCTTTGTAACAATATCTTGGATCCACCAATTTTTTTTATTTTTTAAAAATGTGTGTATCTCTATATTGGGCAATGCAAATGTGTTTCGACATGTTCCTACTTTATTTGTGTATCCCTATGTTGGGTAGTAGGTATGGATGATTGTTGGTGATATGAGTTGTCTAACAAAAGAAAAAGAAAGAAAGAAAATTCGGTGATGCATTTATGCTTGGTGTGGACTCGATGACCTCTTATGAAGTGGGGTTGGGAGTTATCGTTGAGAAATGAGAGGTAAATTCTGCTTCTAGACAGTAGAAACTACCCCATTTGTAAAATGGATCATATACAATTAGTTTGATCGTTTCTGAATCTTCAACCAAGTTATTTCTAAATTATACATCAATCATCCACGATTGATGCTGCCTACATATTTCTTTTTGAGGAATGTCACTTTATCTTCTACGCTATTCATTTTTTATCCGATAATTACCTTTTTTTATGCCAATAAACGCAAATATAGCATAATAATTTTTTTTTTAAGTAACTGTGGATATTCAGGCCAACTTACGCGCACTTCGACTAATCTCCTGAAGCCCTGAAATTAACAATTAGGTAAGCCTCCAGTGGCTCTAAAGTTTGTGACACTCGAATTGGTGATCTCTAGAAAATAAACTCAAAGTCTAATTAGTTGAGTTATATCCCTCAAAATTAATTTATTAAGATTTTAATACAATTAGTTCTATAGTGTTGATATTCTATTAATTATTTTTTGAGTTTCACTTTGAAGTAATAAATTAGATATTTCCTAACACGGCTCAATGTGAGAAACACATTCAACCTTCAAAAGTGACCTCTATAAGGCTTACGTATATATTTTTTTTAATTTCCTCTAAATGTATTTTATAAAAATTTAATTTTTTTTTATAATTTTAGATGATTTTAATATAAAAAATAATTTTTAAAAATAAAAATAATTATTTCAATATATTTTCAAGCTAAAAATATTATGAAAAATCTTAATCTTAATTAAGTTCTCAGATAATATTTAGTCTCAATTAGGTCTCTAATGTTTTTGTTTGTCTTCAATGGAGTCCCCCATCTCTTTCTCGAGAGAAAAAAAAATCTAACACCGACACATTTCTTTGTTTTATTTTCTTTGCGAGAAGAAAATCAAACACAGACACATTCCAAGTTGAATACTACTTTTTCATAAAAGTAAAAACGGCATCATTTAGAAGAAAAATTGAAATTTCAAAAACTTGTGAAGAGTATACATTATATAGCTAAAAGAGCTCAGACATTTACTGTGGATTGCACTGTGCAGTCCACAGTAAAAGCTGAGCTGTCATGCTATCATTCTTTTTTCTGTTTTTTTTTTTTTTTTTTTTTTTTAAGTTTCTTCAGTTTCACTTTGTTTTTTTAATGGATTTTGCTGTAATTTTTTTTCCGTTTGTTTTTTTTTTTTGCTTTTTTAGGTTGTTTTTTCTTCATTTTTTCTTTGTTTTTTCTAATAGATTTTTTTTTAAAAATTGTTTTTGTTGATGTTAAATTTTTTTCTATCTTAAACTTTTATAACACACATTCCGGGTTTAATGGGTTAATCCAGATTTTTTTTTTCTGGTTTTTCTTTTTAATTAATTTTTTCGTTTAATTTATTTTGTTAAATTAATTATGGGTTAACCTGATTTCATGGGTTAATCAAATTAACAGTAAAAATTGAGTTGTCATTTTTTTTCCTTTTTTTTTTCTTAGGTTTTTTTTTCCTTCATTTTTTCTTTGTTTTGTTTAATGGATTTTGCTGTCATTTTTTTTTTCCTGTTTTAATTTGTTTTTTTCTTTATTTTTTCTTTGTTTTTTTAATGGATTTTTTTTAAAAATTTTTTTGTTAATGTTAAATTTTTTTTCTATCTCAAACTTTTATAACACACATTCCGGGTTTAATGGGTTAACCCAGATTTTTTTTTCTGGTTTTTCTTTTTAATTAATTTTTTTATTTAATTTATTTTGTTAAATTAATTATGGGTTAACCTGGTTTCATGGGTTAACCAAATTAATTATGGGTTAAGCCGTTAATTTTTTTTTTCTACGCAGTTATCAAACTTTCATGACACGAATTCCAGGTTTGACGTGTTAACTTCGTTTGAGGGTTAACCCAGTTAATTCAGATTTTTTTTTTCATTAGTTTTTTTTCTTCATGTTGGTTTTTTTTTCTTTTTAGTTAATCTATTTAATTATCACACTTTTATGACACAATCTTGCAGCCAAACCCACATCCAAGGCTATTGGTCTAATGTTGCAGTCAGACTCATTTAAACTTGAGTCATGTAACTTTAATATTATTATTAATATTATAAATATTACTTTTGGGTCAAGCGTTGTAGCTAAACCCAAGGCTTTTGGGTATATCTTTGCAGAAAAACTTAACACTCTTAGATCTTAACCTTTTTTTATATTTTTTATGCAATAAAAAAATTTTTACCCGTGGCATGTGCCTTTGTTTTTTTTTTTTTTTTCCTTTTTAAGCCCTTTACCGTGGACTGCACAGTGCAATCTACAGTGAAAAAGATGATGCCTTTAGTTTTTTTTTTTTTCTTTTTTCTTTGTTTTTTTATTTTTTTCTTTGTTTTTTTAATATTAATTTTTTTTCTATTTAATTATCAGACTTTTATGACACGGATCCCAGATTTGATGGGTTAACCCAGTTGATTCATAGTTAATTAAGAATTTTTTTTTCTCTTTCTTCATTAACTTTTTTCCTCTTATATGTTTTTTTTTCTTTATTTTTTATTTTTAATTAATATTTTTTTTATTTAATTTAGTTCATTAATATTAAATTTTTTTTTCTATTTAGTTATTGTTTGATGCCTTTAGTTTTTATTTTTGTTTCTTTTTTCATTTTTATACCTTTGACTGTGGACTGCACAATGCAGTCCACAATGAAAAGGTTGATGCCTTTTGTTTTTTATTTTTATTTTTTTTAATTAATTTTTTTCGTTTAATTTAGTTTGTTATTGTTAAATATTTTTATATTTAGTTATTAAACTTTCATGATACGGATCCCGGGTTTGATGGATTAACCTGGTTTAACAAATTAGCCCAATTAATTATAGGTAACCCATCAATTGTTTTTCCTATTTAGTTATCAAACTTTCACGACATGAATCCAAGGTTTGACGGGTTAATCAGGTTTGAAGGGTTAACCCAGTTAATTCAAAAAAAAATTCTTTTTCTTCGTTAGTTTTTTTCTTCCTGTTGGTTTTTTTTCTTTTTAATTAATCTATTTGATTATCATACTTTTATGACATGACTTTGCAGCTAGACCCACATCCAAGGCTATTGGATCCGGTATTGCAGTTAGACCCACTTAAACTTGGGTCATGTAAGTTTAATGTTATTATTAATATTATAAATATTACTCTTGGGTCAGTTGTTGCAATCAAATCCAAGATTTTTAGGTATAACTTTACAGAAAGATGTAACACTTTTAGCCCTTAGGTTTTTTTTTTTATATTTTTTAAACAAAAATAAATTAACCCGCAGCATCGCGCGGGTAATGAATCTAGTAAAAAAACTAAAAGGAGACAATCTCTTTTTGGGAACTCAATGAAGGACGACTTTTTTAAGGTTTGTGCTTTATTCATCAAGTAATTCACTAGGATTTCCTAGCATTATTAAAATAAATTAAAGAGGTCCCTCCACCGGGCATAGCGCCGCGCTAGTGGTTGTTGAGGCGTTGCCAAATCACGTGACACGATCACTCACTGCATGTGCAAATAAAACACCTATTTTTTAAATAAAAAAGTTAAATTCATCAGATTTTAAATTTGTTTTTTAATAATTATAAATTCAAGTTTTAGAATAGAAACTATTATTATAAATTAATTCAAATATTAAAATTTTAAAAAAAAAAACGAAAACACTCCTTGTTTATCTCAAGATGGTGAGAAGTATGGTTTCTTTCTTTTACAAATCTAATAAAAATGAAAATTTTGCTGGGACGCACAGCACAGCACAGAACCGAAATAAAAAGAAGACAACTCCACTCGTGACAGACGGACAGAGACAGCTCTAGCATTCATTCATTTGACGAGACATCTCTCTTTTGTCTTTCACTTCATTCAATTAGTTTCGTGACAGGTACCATCATCTCTGTGATAGAGAATTCTTTTCTTACTTTT